TTGGGCACTAATCTTTCCTTTCCAGACCCATCTAGCTTTAGTGGGCCTTGATGCTTAGCATAACCACAAACATCTAATAACACAGAAAGAAAATTCTCATTCTCTTTCTGTGTTATTAGATGTGGAGTCTCGACCGTTTTCCCCATCCTATTCTCCTTGAGTATAAATAGAAGGGGGGAAGACAAAACCCAGTTCATTAGTTAAACGCGACACCTGAGCGCAGTCTCAAATGGAGCACCTAATCCTCGAAAAGGTAATTCAAGTAGCTTTTGTCACCCACTGAATCTTATATAAATTAGATAGGGAGCCGTTTGCCAAAGGTGCCGCCTTGCTAGAAATTATTTGCGCTTCGGGGCTCCGTCATCCCTGCTCTGTGAATCCGTACAGGGGAAAGTAAGTAGAAAGTACAGACTTGCCCCTGTGAAATGGCATTTGTAACTTGCCTTTTAGGAATTGTGTAAAAGGTGACACCTACCCAAAAAAACCAAAGGGCAGAAGTGTCTCCGCTCTAAATTGTGATAAAATGGTTGTGACTTGGATGAACTACAAAGCTGGAAAATTCTGGTTTTTAATCTGATACTAGGAAGGAAGGAAGGAAGGAAGGAAGGAAGGAAGGAAGGAAGGAAGGAAGGAAGGAAGGAAGGAAGGAAGGAAGGAAGGACTATTTCAATATGATGGATTAAAAACAAGAGTGATTGATGAATGATTACACTGGTTATGTAGACATTTGTAAAGCAATTTGTAAGAGGCTATTTCTTCTGATTATTCTTCTTATTTCTCTCGTACCGCTTGAGTGAAAATACTGTATTTTGTTTCCTTTTAATACTTCTTTGCTATATCTTCCTTTGGCAGAATCCAAGATGACCATGAGTGACTTCCTTAATCCTTTGGATATTGCTGCCGCAATCCAAGATTGTCTAGGTAAGATGGCATTGGGGTAAATAAATTAAGAGTGGCTTTACTAGATCAGACCAAAAGCTCAGATGCAGCCCACTTTTGTGAGTCTTTGATGGAGAAATTTACAAACAGCTGAATTTAGTTGAAACTAGTTCCCCAAAACGGGACAGGTCTGGCAATGAAGCATTTATTAGGCTACCAATTTAGAAAGTGTTTGGCACCTTAAATGTGTCTTAAATGTGGATGAGGATGCCCTCTTATTAATGTTTGTCCAAAAATATCTCTTGGATTGAGATGTACTAGAAACATCTCAATTCAAGAGATATTTTTGGACAAACATTAATCTAGGATGGTTATCTAGCAAACAAACCGGATGTGTTAACTAATTATTTTGATTCTTAATACGAGTTGAAGACTGTAGGCTTCTACTGACATGTTGATGTCCAAATGTGGGCTTTTCCCCTAGACTTGACTTTCCTTTTAAAATTGTCAGTCCGTGTTTTGGATTTTTTGTGGCTGTTGTCGAGGGAATTTGGTTTAGCATGTTGGCAGAAGTGTGTCTGTGCAATCAAAGTCTACTGGTCTTGCACACAGAAGTTTTATAAACTGAGCATCTTTAGTAGTAGGATGTATACAACAAAGCAACAGCTTCAAAGATGATTAGGGAACTGGAGGTGAAAACATATGAAGAACAGTCGCAGGAATTGTTTAATGAAAAGAAGGGGTGACATGATAACAATGTTCCAATATTTGGGGGGCTGCCACAAAGAAGAGGGTTCTCCAAAGAACCTGAAGGCAAGACAAGAAGCAATGGATGGAAATGAATCAAGGAGAGAAGCAACCTAGAACTCAGGAGAAATTTCCTGACAGTGAGAACAATTAATCAGTGGAACGGCTTCCCTCCAGAAGTTGTGGATGCTCCAACACGGGACGTTTTTTAAGAAGAGACTGGACAGCCACCTGTCTGAAATGGTATAGGGTCTCTTGCTTGAGCAGGGGGTTGGACTAGAAGACCTCCAAGGTCCCTTCCAAGTCTGTTATTCTGTCTTTCTAGATATAAAACCAGGATGGCGGAAAGGAGGAAGAAGAGAATAAGTTAACCATCCTTTCTCCAACGTTCTAGCTTACAATAGTCCTTTTTGTTCTTTTCTTCCTAGCTCCAGATAGTTTCAACTGCAGAAAATTCTTCCAGCTTTCTGGTATGTCCAAAAAGAGCGGCAGCCAAATCAAGGATATATTTCAAATTCTAGACCAAGATAAAAATGGATTTGTTGAAATAGCAGAACTCAGGTAAGGATGCTCCACCATTTTGTTCTCTCTCTCTTTTTTTTAATATATTCTGAGTACTGTAGGTACAATCCTGGTTGTATTTACATGGGAGAGAGGGGAGCCCAAGTAAAGTCTGTAGACTTTCCTTCCCGACAGGCTTGTCTAAAATGGTACTGCAGGTAAAAGGCAAACATCTTTGAATTTAAATCCTTTTTATGCTTGTAAGAATATTTCTTGAACTGCTGGTTCCACTCACAGGATATACTAACGTCTCTGATCATATAGCAAGAGATTTCAAAATATGAAATTGTTAAAAGAGTTAGTGGAAACCAAAGTAAAAAGACAAAATGCCAAGTGACCTAGTCCTAGGGCAATGTTTCTCAACCTCAGCATTGTTAAGCTGTGTGGACTTCAACTCCCAGAATTCCCCAGCCAGCCTGGAATTCTGGGATTTGAAGTCCACATAGCTTAAAGTTGGCAAGAGTGAGAAACACTGACCTAGGGTTTTGTGTGGCATCCCTAACTTATCAACTCAGCTCAAAAGAATATCACCACACGAAATTGCTTTTCTTCTCCTCTCTCTAGTTACTTCCTTCGGAAGTTTAATCCGGGGGCTCGCTTGTTAACACCGACAGAAATCGAAAAATTTCTGGCCACGGGAGACCATGATGGAGATGGAAAAGTTGGGGCTGAAGGTATGGGTTGATTCGGATTTGTTTGGTCCTGCAATCCTTCCTGAACAGATGGGTCTTTTTGAGGGAGGAATGGGGTCATTGCTCCAGGCACCATCTGTGGAGGGCCTGCTAGCCAAACTCTGGTTTCAGAATGTGAACTGAGTAAATGGTTTAAGATGACCCATTCCTGATTGTAAGCTAAGCTGTGGAAAGAGTCCTTCCAGAGCGTCCCTGGGAGTGCCTTAGTTTTGTCCATGACCTTCACCGGAGAAGGCTTATGTAGGAGGCAGAGAGAAGAAAAAGGGAGAGAGAATTCAAATTAAAATTCTGCCCTTGGTGAAGAAGATTCCTCAGTAATCCATTTCCATCAACAGTCAATGAAAAAGTCTAACAAAGTCAACAATAGTCTCCTTTTTACTCTTTTTTAAAAAATAGCCTGGTTTTTTTTATTTTATTCCAAATATTAAAATACAAACAATAGTCTCCATCAGGGGTTTAGAACTCCTTCTGGATATGAAAGTTCAGTTTTGGTAGGATAACTCTTCTAGCTTAAGAAATGTAGAGAAGTCCACTCAAAAGCTTCTCCTTTTATTGCAGAATTCCAGGAGATGGTACAATCCTAAAGGACCAGAAGCGGCTTGCGTGACGGAAGAACCTCTGTCCAGAAAGAGTTCTCTTGAAACTTTCAAACCCTTTCTTATGATTTGCCTCCTATTCAGTGGTGTGCTACTACAGGTAGTCCTTGAAATACGGCCATAATGGAGCCTGCCCATTACGGTTGTGACAGTCAGTAGATGAAGCTGACCCCATATCCCTGCTCTCCCCAATGAATCATTAAAGAAACACAAGGGTCATTAAGCGGAGCATGGGGTGCTTCAGGATGGGGGAGGCTCTTTGGGGCCAAGCATAGGCCCTGGTCTTCCCAAGGCCTCCCCCACCCACCAAGACACCCCATGCTCCCCTTCCCACCTCTTGGGTGTGATGGAGGGAAGAGCACTTATGACCACTGCAGCATCCCCATGGTCGTGTGATCAAAATTCAGATGCTAGGCAACCGGTTCATAGTTACGACCGTTGCTGTGTCCCAGGATCATGTCATCCCCTTTTGCGACTGTCTGACGAGCAAAGTCAATGGGGAAGCCAGATTCACTTAACAGCTGTGTTACCAACTTCACAACTGCTGTGATTCATTTAACAACTGTGGGAAGAAAGATCGCAAAATGGGGCCAAACTCCCTTAACAACTGCCTTGCTTAGCAACAGAAATTTTGGGCTCAGTTATGGTCGTTGAGGATTATTTGTCCATATGAGTGCATGCACAGTGAGCAAAACCTGGAAGTGGTAAATAACCAATGAATGAAACTATTAACTTTTGTCTTCTTATGCAAACAGTATAAAAAGCCTGATGATATAAAGCTGCCTTTCGCTGAAACTGTCACCAATTTGCTTCTGCACAGAAATAAAAGGGTTTGAATTCCACTTTCCGCGACTACCTGTTCTTTTTAAAAAATCTGCTTTTTATTGAAACTTTATTGAAGTCTGTTCTTGTGGAAAACGAAAGAACTCTTACGAATTCCAGAGGGGGTTAGCAGAGAAGTTTATTTGCGCAGGTTCAGAAGCATAAAGACAAGCAATTCTGAACAAGGAGGGCGGGATTAGACTTCAGATTTATACTATCCTTCTTTCAGGAACAAAGGACTACACATGGTAATACACATTGTAATACATTAGGATCGTTTCTCAAGGGCATACAATGGTAAGTTTTGCTACATACAAAGTATCTATGTGCAAAGCGCATTTGGTTAGTCACATATTACTGACACAGAACTTTCCCAGTGAATTTTCCCAGTGATTATGCATTACATCATTATTCTAGCAATTATGCAGACAAATCATTATTCCAGCAATTGTTCATTTTACTACATTACTGTCACAACACAAAATGAAAGTGAAAATAAAGATAGTAAAGAAATGGAACAATGCTCTTGACAGCTGGATCTCTGCTACTTGGTGGTTGAACCTAAAAGGCAGAAGCTATAGTTTATAGCACATCATTAACCCCTATTATTGCAAAGAGGATTAAATTAACTTCCTTGATTATAGGAAAGAATCGATTGATTGATTGATGGATGGGTGGATGGATGACAGGAAACCCCTTACAAACTTTCTGCATGAAAAGGGGAAAAAGTGAAATTATGAGTTGTGACTTTCTGAATATATATAATAAAAATAGTAAAGATAAAAACTGAGCTTTTAAAATAATTCCATAAATTCTGCAATCGTATTTGCTGCAGAAGAAATTGGAAATTCTCTTCTTTCTCACAATACTTTTGCCCCTTCCTTCCTTCCTTCCTTCCTTCTCATTCACTCAGAATTTTTCCTTCCTTCCCCTTAGTTTTTATCTCCGCTTTAAAACTTTTAATAAACTTTATTAAAAAAACAAACAAACCCCACAACAACCCGTGATTGCAAAGACAGTCCAGGACTGGGCGGCGCGGGCCTTCCCTGCCCTTCCCTTCCTTTCCCCGGCCAGAGCAGTCCCGCGGCAACTGCATCCTCCCGGTTCCCCTCGCTGGCTCCGGGCTCGGCCTGCCTGCTACGGCCGCCACCCTCTCGGCCCGCCAGCTGCCGGCCGGGCGCGCGCGCAGAGCGGCAAAGCGGGCCAGGCGAGGCCGGGGCTCGGGGCGGCGTGTAGGCCGCGGCCGGAGGCGGACCAGGAGGAGGCGGCGGCGGCGGCCCTCCGGCCGTTCCCGAGGCTGCTCCGCTCCGCCCCCCGGCAGGATGGCGGCGGCGGCGGAGTCGGGGGCCGGGCCGGAGAAGCTGCTGGCGCCGGTCCTGATCGGCTTCTTCGTGTACAACCCGCGGCTGGGCCCGCGAGAGGGCGAGGTGGGCGGGCGAAGGGAGAGCGGGACCCTCCGGCCGGGGCGGGGAGGCGGAGGGCCGGCCGGGCCTGCCTCGGGGGCGGCTCTGGCGGAGGGGGAGAGGCGGCCACTCTCTCCGGACAGGTCGAAGCCCAGCCGGGAGGAAGGAGGGAGAGAGGGAGCTCGGTGGGGGGGATGCACAACTGGGGGGCTTGGAGTGTGTGTGTGTGTGTGTCTAATAACAAACGAGAGAGATAGATGGAGTTGGTTGTGTGGGAGTGTCACAACTGGGGGGCTTGGAGTGTGTGTGTCTGTGTGTGTAATAACTGGAGAGACACAGATGGGGGCCTGGTTGTGGGAGTGTCACAACTGGGGGGACCTTGAGAGTGTGTGTGTATGTGTGTGTGTAATAACAAACTGGAGAGACGTAGACGGGGGAGTGTGTGGGAGTGTCACAACTGGGGGGGGCTTGGAATGTGTGTTTGTGTGTGTGTGTGTGTGTGTGTAATAAACTGGAGAGACATAGATGGAGCTGGTTGTGTGGGAGTGTCACAATTGAGGGGCTTGAAGTGTGTGTGTGTGTGTGTGTGTGTGTGTGTGTGTGTGTGTGTGTGTGTGTAATAACTGAAGAGACACGGATGAGGGGCCTGGTTGTGGGAGTGTTTCTACGATAATAATAGGTAAAGGAAGTTGTGGCTGTATGTATACATACATACATACATAATGTATGTATGTATACATATTAATATATTAATATGTTATGTATATATCCAAACTCCTGATGCAGATAATCCCCTAAGGTTCGAAGTTACAATAGCACTGAAAAAAGTCACCTATGACTGTTTTTCAAGCTTATGACTGTTGCAGCATCCCCAGGGTCATGTGATCAAAATTCAGATGCTTAGCAACTGACTCGTATTTATGACAGTTGCAGTGTCCCAGGGACATGTGATCCCCTTTGCAAAGCCAGTGGGGAAGCTGGAGTCACTTAACAACCATGTTACTAACTGAACAACTGCAGTGATTCATTTCACAGTTATGGCAAGGAAAGTCATAAAATGGGGCAAAACTCACTTATCAACAGTCTCAATAATAGAAAGTTTGGGGTCAGTTGTGATCGTAAATCGAGGACTACATGTATAGGGTCTCCTGCTTGAGCATGGGATTTGATTAGAAGACCTTACACTTTTACGCACACTTCTATGCCTTTTCCCCTTTTGCATTCATATAACCTGCATGCATGTACATTTTGCATACATGCACAACATACACACGTATACTTTGTGTACATGCAAATTCCTTTTTTTCCCACAAAAAAATATATTTCAGACTGCTAACATTTTAGCACAATGTCTCATTTAAGGGCCCTATTCACAGAATTGTGACTTAATGTAAAATGCAGTAAGTTGTGAAGGTCTATAAAGGTATTGCAGAGATCTATTTAAAATAATGAATTAAGTGTTTCGTTTCTAACTTCAGGAAGAAAAGAAGATCCTCTTCTATTACCCAAACGAAGCAGAGAAAAATGAAAAAATCAGAAATGTTGGATTATGTGAAGCCATTGTTCAGTTTACAAGGTACCACAATCCCTAGGTCTGCATGTCTAGTATTTCATTTATTTGTAAAAAATGAAACTTATTTGGCTCTTTCCAGATTTTTTTTTAAAAAATAGACTGCCCAGCGGATGATCAGATTAGACCTTTAAGATGTGTGGACTTCAACTCCCAGAATTCCCCAGTCAGCACTGGGGAGAGTAGCTGGGTAAGGAATTCTGGGAGTTGAAATCCATCTATTTTAAAGTAACCAAGGTTGAGAAACACTGAACATCCAACCTTGTAATTTTCTCAGTTATACCTTCCACGACTTGATCATGAAATTGTTCATTCTTAACAATATTTTTTTCACACATTAACATCCCCCATAATTGGTGTTTGTGGAAAGTATGGGCAGGAACAGTGGCATGAACCTTGGCCAAAAATATTAAATTGTCTCATTTCTGTAATGATAACACAACACATACCATCTTGATGTTCTTGAGGCTTGTTACTGATGCTTCTGATCCCACATTTCATCCAAGACAATGTACCTACCTTTTTTCTGATTTGTTTCGTTTTCCAAAAAAATACTTATGAAAAACAAGAGGCTGGAAGAATTATAGAACTAAAATTGTCCTGTGAGTTTCTTGGCTAATTAGGGTTTAAACTAAATTTCCCAAGACCATGTCAATTGGTTTATATATACTGCTCACAAAAATAAAGGGAACGCAAACCCCTTCAGTTCCATGGTAAAATGTTCCCTTTATTTTTTTGAGCAATATATATTACTTAAGCAAGGAGGTCTGAGAACATAATGGGGATTGATAGTTTCCTCCTTTATGAGTTTTATTCTATTTGTTGACAATTGGAAATCAAAACAATAATGGGTTATTTTATGTTACCCCTGGTCCAAATGAACATTTAAACTGTGCTAATTCATATAATATTTTTTTCTTCTTCTTAGGACCTTCAGTCCTACAAAGCCCGCAAAATCGCTACATACACAGAAAAACAGACAGTTCTTCAATGAACCGGAAGAAAATTTCTGGATGGTTATGGTATATAAATACACGATACTGTAATTCAGTGGTGGCGAACCTATGGCACGGGTGTCAGAGGCGGCACTCAGACCCCTCTCTGTGGGCACGCGTGCCATCGCCCCAGTCCTAGGCCTTCAGCTGGGTTTTATAAAACCTTTTTGCTTTAGGCCTCCGCCGTCGTGTACAAAAAAAAAAGGTTCAATCAATCAATTAATTTCAACTTCTCGCGGGAAAAAAAAGATCTTGCAAAGTTGGAATTGATTGATTGAACTTTTTAGTCTCACCCAGTCTGCCGTTACCACTG